AAAACTATTTCACTAGGAGGGTGGTGAAACACTGGAATGCGTTACCTAGGGAGGTGGTGGAGTCTCCTTCCTTGGAGGTTTTTAAGGCCCGGCTTGACAAAGCCCTGGCTGGGATGATTTAGCTGGGAATTGATCCTGCTTTGAGCAGGGGGTTGGACTAGATGACCTCTTGAGGTCCCTTCCAACTCTGATATTCTATGATTCTATGATTCTATGACACAGGACCTGATCCAAAGCGCATTCAAGTCAATATAAAAACTGCAAATGGAGGACTACTTCAATAGGCTTTGGATCAGACCCTGAGCCCTTTGAAAATTACAGACGCCCAGGTTTATATTTCTGTGAACACAGTTTAATTATTTACTCTGCACCATGGAGCGACATGGAACTGGAAGTAGAGGGAATAGCCATGAAAAAAAGGTTCACATTGGGATTGGACCAGAATGTTGGGGTTAACAGCTCTACCCTTCCACACAGAGTCCAGCATGATCTTCAAATAACCTCATGTAGTCAGAGCCTTGGTTTTACATCTTGTCCGCACATCAGCACCTCCCACAGAACAGTGCTCTCTAGCATCACAGAAAGCATTGATTAAACAGTGACTCACAAGCAAAGAGTGCCACCTACAAAGTCACCACCACCACTTCCTGCCGCACTGTTGGAGATTTCCTCAGAGATCTCCCATCTAAGTAGTGACCGAGTCAACACTGCTTAGTGTACATGCTCTGATGAGCTCACTGCCCATGGTGGTATGGCTTCCAGCCGTCTTTTCCATTACACTGTAATTTCATTTCTTCATAGTTTTTTGTCTCATCTGCATGGCTGACAGGCTGTCAGCCCTGATGCAAACTATTATTCTAAAGTGGCGTAAAATGGTGAAATTGTTTTATAATGTTAGAGTGCAAAAATAGATTTTAATAGCCTGATTCTAATCTCACTGTGCCAGGTATAACTCCAGTGACTCCTAACTAACACCATAAATGAATTCAGATTCAGGTCCTAGGGGTTTTTATTTATTTAAAAGTTTCTATTTTTCTTTTTCTTTCAATTGCTGGAGTTAAAAATAGCTTCTGAAAAGAAAACAACAAAGCAACAATCTTGAGGACAGCGCCCTCTCACTATGGCCTTTTGGTATTTTCAAAAAATGAAGGAGCTAGTAAATGTGAATGATTCTGCGGCAAGTATGATATTTTGTTTTAAATAGCATACTCACAACTAAGCAAGTGTACATTTCACCAGTTTCATGACGTACTATTTTGATGGTGACAGTCAAATTTATTCCAGAATAAATCCTTTTTTCCCTCTTTACCTTGTCACTTTTGCTACTACACTCCATCTTTAAGTGAAAGAAATAGAAAAATTTAATATCACACCTTTCTATCTAGGTGCTCATATGACCCCATCATTGCAGTAGCTGATCACTGTGAGGCTCTCTGTGTGTTGTTCTGCAAGCTCTCTGCCTGCTCTGTTGATCCCGTTCCCTTCTACTTGTAACCCCACTGATACTCTGTTAACAATCCCTGCTCTCCTGTTTGGGGAAACTCACAAAAATATTTTTTAATTCATACCAAATGTCCCATCCCTTGTTGAAGTAGCAGCAGTTTCCACGGCTGGTATTGGTCCCAACTGTAGTGGTGCATGAGGCAACAAGGCAAAGCAGGATTCGAGAATAAGAAGAATCTTTGCACAACAAAAAGAACTGAAAGAATAACTGGGATGGAGGCTACTGTATGGTAAGGAAAGGGTACAAAGTGGAAATAGGTTGCTTTCTAGTTTATGTTCTCAGATGTAGATAGTTTCCCACCAGCAATACTTTTCTTTAAAAAATGTCTCAAAGCAAAATCAGATGGTTGTTAACTGAACTCACGCTCTTTACATTTTTGTTGACAATGGGGTGGGGCTATAAAATCAACAAAACAGTAGAGTGTCAGTGGAAAACTCTTCACTTCCCAACACTGACAGTTTAATGCTGATGAGTAATTATGATGGACAGTGGGAACTGATGAAACTTGATAGAGGTGGTGTTTGTACTGACACCAGCTTCCCTTGATTTCCCCGAAGACCCTTGCAAATGCTTATATACAGAACATCATTTTAAGTGGTGCCCATTGTAAATGAAAGCGTCTCATGCACATCTGAAGAAACAGAAGTGTCTTTCACACTTTGCAGTTACAACATCAGTGAAAGTGTCTGATTCAGTTCCAGATGCTATCATAAGATGACATCTTAATGGTGAGATTGATATTGTGACAGTTCTGTCATGTACATCCTAACACTCCATCAGAGTTGATACAGTGTCAGTGAAGATGGCCCAGATAAGAAATATGACTGATTAAAATAATAGGAAAGAAACATAAACTGCGTTACGGTAATGTATAAAGGCTGTGACTTGAACCCGCCAAAGAAAGGCTACGGTTAACATCTTATAAGTTTATGTTCCCTGTATATGTTAGACAACTGAGCCCATGGAAATCATTTACATGGAAAGTACACAATTAACACACACACATTATACACAACATACTGCAGTTTAAATATAACAACAGAGTAATCGTGAAGATTTGCTGCCACATATAGGCCACCTAGGTTTGCAGCTAAATTGCCTTTGCTAATTTTCTGAAGGAAGGCTTTACTGCGGGTTGAAAAGAAATTGGATAATACAAGATTTCTGTCTGAATTACTTACAGACATCTTAGAAAGAGGAGAATTTATCCCATAAAAATTATAAGATGACAAAGATACTCTGGGCCATTATGACAATGAAAATAGTCTGTATACCAAAAAAGATAGAAATTTCAAGTTGGTGCACATGTTAATCTAGGATTGTAGAAAATATTGCATATTCAGGGCTTCTGATTTTAGGTTTTAACTGATAAATGCAGATAAAACCCCCAATTAAAAAAAAGAAATGGGTGTTTATCAAATAAACACCAGAAAAAACACTGGAAATGGTTGCTTGTATCTAAGGGCTTCTCTATGCAGAGCAGTGGTCTACAGGGGTCTTATTTCTAAAGTGTTCTGTTGCATATTAATTGGTCCATGTAGACCATGCTCGTGTTCACTAAAGGTTCGCTAGTGTCTTTTAACATAGTGCTATTTGAAAAAAAATACTATGTCAAAGCACAGTAGGGAACATTATGAAGAGATTACTCATTACAATATACACCACTGTATATTACTGATTACAGTAAACACAAAGAAAAAGCTTTGGAATCCCTCCCTCCCATTTTTGGACATCTACATACAACTTTAATATTGCTACTAATAAACCCCCCAATGACATTAATAGACACCAAAAACAGAAGCCCTAATGATATTGTATGATGTGGTCACATAAGATGAAGCAAAGAGGCATAATATTTGGTAAATATGTATTTCATATACATTGGTTAGCTGACATAAGGGTGTAAGACTATTTGATGCATTTAAGGGCTAGAATCAAAGTCCGATTGAATTCAATGGGCATTGGCTCACACCCTAATTGTATCAGAGGGGTAGCCGTGTTAGTCTGAATCTGTAAAAAGCAACAGAGGGTCCTGTGGCACCTTTGAGACTAACAGAAGTACTGGGAGCATAAGCTTTCGTGGGGAAGAAGTGAGGTTCTTACCCACGAAAGCTTATGCTCCCAGTACTTCTGTTAGTCTCAAAGGTGCCACAGGACCCTCTGTTGCTTTTTACCCTAATTGTAGTAAACTATCAGCCCATGGATGAGGTAGCACCTTTTGTTTTTCTTCAGCAACGCCCTTTGCCTGACTGGAGGGGCTGGACTGATGGATACCAGAGAGAAGTGCTTTGAAGACTTCTCACCAAAAATAACTGCAACTGGGTCCTTTAAGAGAGTAGGGAAGTAAAGGGAATAAAAAGGGGGAAATGCCAGATGATTCTCTCCCTTTCCCCCACTTCCCTGAAATGTCTTTCCTGATATAGGCAAGTCTAGTTTTCCTCTTGGATTCAGCTGTAGTCATCTCTTAGTAGTTGGTCTGTGCCTTACACCACTGATGGCTATAGGGATGTGTGTACACAGAGTGGCCTGGGGGCAGCAATTTTCTTTTACATCA